TCTCAACTTTTCACACTTTAATCATAGGATACAGGTAACTCTATTTGGTTCTGGCTCTAATGACACTGTGGATACTGCATATGTTCAATAGGGTTTTTTTTTTTAACTTGATACTCCAGCCTATATTTTATTTATTGAATCAAAACTTTATGATATATGCTTAATTACTATTGCTCTCTAATGACAGTCATTTGAACATGCAGATCCATAAGTCATAATAACAAAAAATTCTCCTTAGAATGATTGATCATAATAGCATAAAGTTAGAGTCCTTATAAATGAAAAAAATCTTTTTAAGCTTTTAGTGTCCCTGGCTGTGTAAGTTTGTGCAATTTGCACCAGGATTTTGAATATCAGATATTATAACGTATTTTACTATTTTGTTGTTTGTGTTTATTTTTTAATTTTTTAGTATTGGGTATCAAAGTTAGGAATTTGAGCTTGGAGGCAGGTGTGGTGCCACTGTGCTACATCCCCAGCCCTGTGTATATGGATTTTGAAACAGGCTGTAGCTGTAATTCAGGCTGGTGTCGAACTATTCCTGTCTCAGTCTTCCAAGTGCTCAGATTACAGGCATAGGCCACCATGCCCAACATCATATTTTGATATGATGAAACATTAACTCATGTTTGCTCTTCATATTTTTTCCCTCTTCCATCCCTTCCTCTCCCTTCTGCTCCCTTTCCAGGGTCAAAAGTGTACTAAGTACATCATGTGCTATTCAACAGAGCGGCATCCCCAACCCATTTAATTTGCTTTTTCAAATGAATAGAAGTAGGACATTTTCTATTTAGTGTTTCCTCTGTGTGTTTTGGTATTATAAGGTGTGTATTTCTCTTTCCCCTCTATCCTGAATTTCTAAAAAGTAAATTCCAACCAGAGTAAGGAATCTTATTTTTATATTAAAATTTAATGTTGACATATTTACACTATAAAATATATTTAAATATTCCAGGATGTATTCTCTAAAGAATCCATACTCTGTTTTTTAAAATTTTGTTGGTACATTTAAGGTATACAATGTAACGGCATTCATCATTGGAAATTTGCACCTTTATGTAATCCATTTTGGTTCTTCTCTTTTCCCCATTCCCATGCCCTCCCTTCAACCCCTCTACCCCTCCTATCTACAAAGACTTTGTTTCCATTTTTTCTTTTAGTCATATTAATTCCATTCCTTTCATTCTTTCCCCCTACACTTTCCCTTTCCCCTTTCCCCTTTTCTTCCTATTTCACATTATCTATTATACTTTTTAGTCCTTATTTACACTTTCAGTTTCTCACACTAGAGAAATTATTTGGTATTTACACATATGGGTCCTATTTCACTTCAGAGTATAGCCTCAATGTGCATCCATTTAGCTATAAATGTCTCTACTTTCTCATTCTTTATGGCTGATTAGTACTCCATTTATATTTTTAAAAACCCACACATTTTCTTTATCCAGTCTCCCACTGGTGGGCACTTGGGCTGCTTCCAAATTTTAGCTATCACAAATTGTGCTGCTATTAACATGGATGCACATAAATCACTGTGGTATGACTCTTTTAATTCTTTGAGAAGTATACCCAGCAGGGGGATATCTGGGTCAAATGGGACCTCCAATCCTAGTTCTTTGATTATATCCATACTGATTTCCACAGGGGTACACCAGTGTACACTCCCACCAGCAGTGGAGCAGGATTCCTCTTTCCCCCACCTGCCCCACCAGCATTTGTCATGGGTTGATTTCATGATAGCAGCCATTCTTTATGGGGTGAGGTGGAATCTCAGTGTTGTTTTAATTTGCATATCTCAAATGACCAATGATGTTGAACATTTTTTCATATGTTTATTTGCTATTTCTACTTTTTTGTCTAAGAAATGTCTGTTCATTTCAGGGCCCATTTTTCATTGGGTCTTTAAATTTAGGAGGGCTGATTTTTTTTTTTTAAGTTCTTTATGTGTTCTACGTAGTAGACCTTTGTCTGAGGAAGAGCTGGTGAAAAATTTTTCCTACGTTGTGGCTTGTCTCTTCACCCTGTTGGTCATTTCTCTTGTTGTGCAGAATCATTTTAGTAAGAAGAGATCCCACTTTTTGATTGTTAGTGCTAGTTCACAGGCAACTGATATTTTGTTCATGAAATCTTTTCGGGTGCCATTGTCTTCAAAAGTTCTAACTAATCTCTCATCTAGCCAGTACAGTGCTTCTGCTTTAATATTTAGATATTTAATTTATTTCAATTTTAGTGTAGTGCACAGTGAGAGATATAGATCTAGTTTTAATCTTTGGCAAATTGAAACCCAGTTTTTCCAGATCCATTTATTAAAGAGGCTATCTTTCCTCTAATGAGGGTGTTTGGCTCCTTTGTCAAGGATGAGGTGGCTGAGTGTGTCTGGACTTGTTTCTGCATCTTCTAATCTATACCACTGGTCCTCAGTTCTGCTTATTTGCAAGTACTATGCTATTTTTATTACAGTAGCTTTGTAATATAGTTTCAAGTTGGGGATTGTGATGCCCCTACTTTGTCTTTATTGCCTAGAATTGCTTTTGCTATTCTAGGTCTCTTCTTCTTCCAAATGAATTTTTGGATTGTTTTATCAAGGTCTGGGAAGTATGCTGCTGGAATTTCAATTGAAATAGCAGTTTTGGAAGCATGGCTGTTTTCACTATGTTGATTCTTCCTACCCAGGAACAAGGGATATCTTTCTATTTTTTTCAATCTCTTGTTTTTGGAGTGTTGTAGTTTTCAGAGTAGAGGTCTTTGATTTCTTTCATTAGGTTGATTCCTAGGTATTTTCATTTTTTAGATGCTATTGTGAAAGGAATTGTATACCCCATTTCACTCTCAATGAGTCTGTTTTTGGTGTACAGGAAAGATATTGATTTTTGTGTGTTGACCTTTTTTCTAGCTACTTTGCTGAATCTGGTCATTATGTCTAGAAGACTTTTGGTGGAGTTCTTGGGGTCTTCTATATGGAGTATCATGTCATCTGCAAATAATGACAATTTGACTTATTCCTTTCCTATCATTATTCCTTTTATTTCTTTCTCTTGTCTAATTTCTGTGGCTAATGTTTCCAAAACTATATTGAACAGGAGCAGTGATAGTGGACATCTTTGTCTTGTTCCTGATTTTAGTGTGAAGGATTTCAGCTTTTGACCATTTAGTATGATATTGGCTGTTGGTTTTTTATAGATGAAAAAAATTTTTTCCCAGTCACTAATTGCAATCCTATCATCTGTATCTGAGATTCTGTCCTCTCATTGGCTCGTTCTGCTGTGTAAACTTTCAATGGAGTGTTTTCCACTCAATGGAGTTTTAAATCTCTTGGAATCTGTTTGCATCTGTGTATGGATTCCATTTGTTTCCTATGTTGGGATGCCATTATGTTTCTTGGCTTCTCTATTATTTTTATCTGTGCCCACTCTAGATTTATTAATCATATCTTGTACCATGGGCACAATCTCTGCTATTATCCGAGAAATCATTTCTGATTTCATTTTTTCCATGTCCTCTTTCCTTGTCAGTTCAGGGAGTCCAGATGGTTGAGTATCAGATTGATCCATCTTGTTACCCTTTGGGCTTGCCTTAGGTAATCTGGAAGTCTGGTTTTGAGACTTATTTCCATGACTTTTCATTTCAGTAGATGCAGCCTGCTGTGCCTTTGTTGAGGCAACTTTTTGCTCACCCAGTGGTCCTCAAGTCTCAGCAAGTCACTGAGCAGCTTTTACTCTGCTGCTCACCAATACACCAATTCCTGTGTTTAGAATGGTGGCCTTTTAGATCTCTGAGCTGACCTGTTGTCTGGGTGGGCTTCTGGCTGAGGCCTGTGCATACTTGGGATGGTATCTAGGTGTGCCTCTCACTGAGGCTCTTGTGTAGCTGTTGTCTGGGAGGACCTTTGGCTGGGGGCTGTGTACCCCAGTTCCTGTTGTCTGTGTAGGCTTCTGGCTAGGGTCTCCACTTACTTAGTATTATTGGGGTGAGCCTCTGGCTGTTGCTCATGCATCTGTGCAGTTCTTTTCCAGGTGTGCCCTTGGTTGTGGCTAATGGTACTGCAGGACTCTGGCTGAAGCTCGTGCACCTGTGCAGCTCTTTTCTAGGTGGGTCTGTGGCTTGGGCATGTGTGTCCACACCTTTGAGGCTGGAGTAGGGCCCTGGCTGGGATCTGTCCATGGCCACACCACTCTGGTCCACACAGCTGCCCCCCAGGATCTGGATGCACTTACTGATAGTGTGGCGGGCCTCTGGATGAAGGTCCTGCACCCATACAGCTCTTTTCTAGGTGGACCTGTGGCTTTGGTGGGTGTGCTCATGCCTCTGGTGTTGGGGCAGGTTCCTGGGTGGGATCAGCCTTCAGTAGCACCACTCTGGTCCACACAGCTGCTCCCTGGGATCTATGCACACTTTCAAACTCTTGAATAAATTTAAATCTTGACATGGGACGATTTTTGTTTTTCTTTTTGTGTTGGCATTAGTGGAAATCACATAAAATTTCATTTCACTTTTAGAAATGCATTTTAAATAGCAAAACAGGTGGCTCATATCCATTACAAGCATGGAATTAAAAGTGATCCCCAAGGAGGTGATATGCGGAATAAACCTTATCTATTCCTATTATATACTGGGCATCCAGCTGAAGCAGGCATTGTTTAATACTGGGGACATGAGAGAGAACTGGCTCTGGCCAGTCCTTTGAGATACTTTTTGCTCTGGTTAGATAGAAAAAGAACATGTCATTATAATGGATATTCCATGGTAAAAGAAAAAATCAAGAGAAATTCACATCCAGTTGAGTTGCAGAATCCCAAAGGAGGCTGGTGCATTGTGAAGGGGAGGCATCTTGTCTAATTTGGGAGTCAGAGGCTGCCTCCTAGAAGAAATTGTTTACACAGAGACCTGGAGGACAGGCAGGATTTGCCTGCTTTATCTAAGAGGGCTGATTTGTTGTTCTGGTGGTGGTTATTATTTTTTGTCTTTGTGGATGAACAGCTAACAGCTTTTGTCTTTCTCAGGAGGCACACATGGGTGTCACTGGAAAAAAATCCAGCCCCATGGAAAGTAGCCAAGCAGAAGCCCTGAAGGCCAGACTCCTCTACCAGGCAGTCTGCTCGGCAGCTCAGCGTCTTGACCTGTTTCTGCATAAAGGAAATGCCCACTGAGAGGTGTTGAAGCCACACGTCCTGGCCCTCAGGGATGCAGTTCAGCAAGTCTGCCTCAGACTCCTGTTCTTGCACCCAGTGTCTTATGGGAGGAAGGCAGAAGAGCTATTGTGGAGGAAAATGTACTCTGCTGTTGTCATGTTGCTTATGAAGACCAACAGAAAGCACAAGGACACTGTCGAGCTCTGGAAAGCTCCCTTGTGGGCTCACCTGAAGGGCGGCCTCAAGTCCTGTGAGCATCTCTTTTTATTTCTTCAGGGGCACTATGAATTGAGGTTACAGAGCTACATAGATTGGCCTCATGGAGAGATTCACCTGATCGGCTGCCAGAAAGCAGGACCCACGTCAGAGGAAGAGGCTGCCTGGGCTCGCATGGCCTGCCATTGCTGCCTGCTCTACCTGGGAGACTTGTTCCGCTATCAGAATGAGTTCCAGGACCTGGCCACTGTGGACTTGGCCGAGAGATGCTATTACAGAGCCCTGACTTTGGCCCCAGACATGGGCATGCCCTTCAACCAGTTGGGAGCTCTGGCTGGGAGCAAATACCATGATGTTAAGGCCACTTCTATCAGCGCTGCCTCCATTCAGAAGTGCCTTTTAAGGGGGCAGTGTGGAACCTCGAACAGCTCTATGATCATGCAGGGAAATGTTACAGCTGTCTCAAAAGGTATCAGAGAAGGAAACTGTCTTACAGCCAGAGACAGTGTTGGGACAACAAACGGCTGCTGGTTAGCTTCCTCTACCTTCAGAGTCTCCTGCAGCCTCAGCGCAAATTCAAAGCAGCCAGATTGACAGCCCTGTGCCAGCTGGTTTTGGAAGAATTCCTTCTCTGTCTTTCTTATCAGCCATGTCCACATGGTTCGTGCCAGGGTCCCACTGAGGGAAAGCCCCCCAAGGGCTATTTGATTCTCCCAGATGGCCTCTTCTTCCACATGGTGGTTCTTTGCCTGATGAATATGAACAGGCTGAGGAAAACAGGCTCAAAACAGCACAAACCAGCAGTCCTCTTCACCTTGACCCTTTTCTCTCATCTAATTCAACATGTGAATATAAAAATTCAGAGTGTGCTCCAGTGAGGGAAGCCACATCCGGAGGTGGCTGTCTGCAGTGATGGAAGCCAGGAAAAAGAGACTGGAGCGGGGCACCCAGACTTTCCAGCCTCCAGGACTCCCTGCCATAGGTGGTCCTTTGTCTCCAGTGAAGGTTACATCTCAGCGGCCAGTTTTCACTCCTGCTGTGACTCGGATGAAATGGAGGAGGAAAACGAATCTTTAAGGTCACAGATCCACTCAGAAGCGAATAGTGACACTTCCTGTTCAGATATAAGTCATGAAGAAGGAGGTGGCTTCCTGAATCCAGAGCCAATGCCGGAAAGTGGAGCCACACCCAAAGATGAAGCTGACCAGGCCAAGAAGAAAATAAAGGCATGCAAATCTTCTAATAGTCTCCTAGATCTCTTAAAAACAACTATTTCTGCAAATGTATCTGTGCCATTGGACCAAAAGCTCCAAGGGACATATAGCTTGCATTTGGCTCCTGTCTTCAGTAGCAGCAAAGTGATGCCTCCTGAGCTGAGCCTCAACTCTGTCCCTCCAGCAATGAGGACAATGTGAACAGCTTCCCAGACACTGAGTTCCACACTGGTTCCTCAGGGGGCAGGGCCCCTCCCTTAGCCTCTCCTAAGCATCTGCATCCCATTGAAAAGAACCTGAAAGTCCTGTCTGCGGAGGGGCGGCTGCCCACCCTCAAGGTGATTGTAGGCTGGCTCTGTACCAACCACATCCTCCTCACCTCATGGCGATGGAGTCCGCTGAGCCTAAGGAACCACCTGTGTGTGCTGCTCAATCTGCTACCCTTGGTGGGAGACCTCCAGCAGCCAGGCCTGGGTCTGTTCCACTTCGTGCATGACCTGCTGTGGAGCTGTCAAGGCCCAGAGAGCCCTACCTTCCCACAGCTCCCTGAGGATATTGCTCTATTCCAGCACTCTCCACCTCAGGCTTCCCAGGTTAGAGTGGGTGCACGGCAGGCTCTGTCTGCACTCAGCACCCAGGATGAGGCTGCTGTGGGTATCTGTTTCCTCCAAAGCTTCGGCCACTTTGCCACTAGACTCCCCAGAGACTTCCTGAGGTTTGACTCTAAGTTGGGTGTCTTCATGAGCAGTACACTTGAAAGACCAGAAGCCCTATCTGGGCAGCTTCCAGAGAGACCTTCAAGGATCAGGTTTTTCAAAGATGTTATCCAGCTCTGGCTTCAACGTGAAGTGGCACTGCTAGAGAAGACCCTTAGGGACCCCCAGACTCGGTCAGCTTTGACCCCTTACCTGTTCCCTGACCCCAGGGCTCTCTGTGAGCATCTTTCGGTCATCCAGCAGCTCACCACCCGTGGGAAATTTTTCCTCATCATACCCAAGTTTGTGGTGGACACTTTGTATATCCTAAGGAGAGAGGACCACAGGGCCTTGGCAGCCATCACTTTTCTGGAGGACGACCTGAAGAGAGGAAACCAGTACATTCTCTGCCAGTCCTTTGTGTCCAAGAGGTTGGTGATGCCCAGGATGACCAGGCCAGATTCTGATGCCTGGGACCTCTATAATATTCTTGACTTTTGCAAAGGTCTGCTGGACTCATCCAGGCCAGGAATACCTGATCCCAGCAGCGTGGTGACCGTCATCACTGATATCTGTTTGGACAACCCTAGAAATTTCTCATATCCTCTACAGTTGGTCTTGGGGACAGCAACCGAAGCTGGAATGGAAATCAAGAACATCCTGCACTTCCACAGAGAGTGGAAGCCAATCAGCTAATAGGGTTGAATTTCCATGGTCACATCTCTCTTCTTTCTTCACCTTCAGCATTCATGGGTCAAACTCTATATGTTTCTCTTGTAAGCACCCAATGTTAAGGTAACCACTGTGTGAGTGTTTGTGTCTACCCACAAGTAGAACTTCAGTGTACCGGCTTCTGGAGGCCTTCTTGTTTCCTTTCTTGTCATCTTGGCTTGATGCCACCTTTTCCTTAAAAAAAAAATCTCAAAATTAGGTCCATGCTCAGTGTTCTTTTGGCAAAGCAGCAAAGCCAGGAAGCTCTCCCAGGGGCAGGTCTAGTTCCTTGGATGCTCTACAATTTGCTTCACTCTGTTTTATAACATGAAACATTTAATTTTTTTCAGCTTTAATTGAGTTTATTGGTACATTTTAGGGATACAGTACAGTTACATTCATTGTTGGGATCTTGTACCTCTACATGACAAGTCTTGATTCTCACTTTTTCCCTTTACCCCTGCCCTCCCTTCACCACCTCCTCCCCTCCCCATCTACAAACACTTTATTTTCATCTTTTCATTATCTCATATTTTTTTCTTTTCCCTTATTACCCTTCCCCTACCCATCCCACCTTCCCTACACCTTTAGCTCTTTTCTTCTCATTTCTAAATGACAGTAATCTTATTAGGATCTTATGTTTTATTGCAGATTATTCACACCAGGGAAACTATTCGGTATTTACACATGTGTGACTTATTTATTTCACTTAGGAGTATATCTTCAATATGTATCCATTTTCTTATGAATGAATCTATTTTCTCATTCTTTATGGCTGAGTAATATTCCATTTTATAGAAAAGCCACATCTTCTTTATCCAGTTTCCAACGGATGGGCAAATGGACTGTTTCCAAGATTTAGCTATTACAAACTGTGCCACTATAAACATGGGTGTGCATACTTCTCTGTGATATGATTATTTTAGTTCTCTTGGAAAGGTACCCAGCAGGGGGATGGCTGGGTCAAATGGAACCTCCAGTCCAAGCTCTTTGAGGTATCTCCATATTGACTTCCATAGTGGTTGCACCAGTCTGCACTTCCACCAACAATGGAGAAGGGCTCTTTTCTCTCCACAACCCCGCCAACATTTGTTATTGTGTGATTTCTTGATAGCAGCCATTCTTTGTGAGGTGAGGTGGAATCTCAGTGTTGTTTTCATCTGCATCTCTCGAATGATCAGTGATGTGGAACATTTTCTCATATATTTACTTGCTGCTTTTACTTCTTTGTCTGAGAAATGTCTGTTCATTTTGGATGCCCATTTTTGAATTGGGTCTTTATATTTGGGGGGACTGATTGTTTTGAGTTCTTTATATATCCTTGATAATAGTCCTTTGTCTGAGGAACACCTGGTAAAAATTTTTTCCCACATTGTAGATTGTCTCTTAGTTCTGCT